GGGCAATGCCGGCGACGGTAAAGACGGCAGCAAGCAGGACTATTGAGTGCCGTGCAGAGAGGCGTTATGTATGGGGGGCACAGCAGCGGGGTGGCCGGGTTCCACGGGGGGGGGTGCCGTACATTCGCGCTGTCCGCGGGGACCCCGCTGCTGTGACGTTCCATCGGTTCAGCAGACACCGGGTGCGCCAAGCGACGGCGGCATGGCCCCTTGGTCCCCTCCCAACTAGGGTCGCTCTCTCCTCTAGAAGCTGTGTGGTGATGATGAGGATATGATGTCGCGCAGCGAAGCCCCATGAAAGTGTGTGGCACGTATGTTTCGTGGGTGTATGTGCGTGTGGACGCATCTGTGTTCGTTTTGCTTGCATCAAACGTGCCGAATGCCTGGGTTGGGACATCACTTGGTCGGGTGTACAGTAGGCAGGCCCCCCTTTGCAGGAGTCGTGAGGTGATTCAATGTGTCTCAATCGATGGTGGACGTGTGGGCATGCACGGTGTTCATTTTATTCTTCTCTTACGTTGGTGTCGCTAGAGAGGAGCGGTCGGATGGTCCCCCTCGTCACCGGGCTGGTAGGTGGGAAAATGACGCGGCTACCCTTGTGTAGTGTTCCTGCTGTCTGCAACTGGCGTGAGTAGTCGGAACAGTAACTGTTTTTGGGGGGGGGCTCAGGGAACCGCCCGCAAAGCTCGCGTCTTCGGCATTGGCGTAGAGGGCATGTGAAAGTATACATACATTCGTTCGGCTGTGCTGTTTTCTTGAAATGGCATGGCGTAGAAGCACGCATACTAATTTCGGAAACGTTTGGGTTTTTTTTTTGTGCGAGTGTCGGAAGAGTTTTTTTTTTTCCCTCTCTCCGTGGGTCTGTTGTCTGTACCTTTAAATGTGATTTTTAGCTGGCGACGACGAGAACGTGTTTCTTGGTCTTGAGAAGGGCACGGAAACTGCGGAACTGGATAGATATGTACATTCTCGAACGGTTTGCTGATCATTGCGTTAGTAGAGACACGGAAGCCAATGCTCCTGTCTCTTGTCCATGCTGTACGAAGATAAACTCACTTGCTGGTCTGTCTCGTACCGCCACCACTTTTACGAAACTTGTACTTTAGCGCAAGGCCCTCGCTCCCTCTGTTGAAGATGAGCGAGGGGACGATCCAGCAGAGAATGTGAAGGCTGTAAGGTGTGAGTAGAGATGCAAGTTCTAGTGTTTCGTGAAGCTCGAGCCCTCCATTTCGTAGCTACCAAGTCTGAGTTTGGTTGCACATCGAGGGAGTAGTTTGGGTGTGTTTTCTTTGCTTTTCGTTTTTGCCTGTATGTCGACTTTTTGGTGATTCGTCCATGCGTCGTGCTTGTTTCTTGGCGTCTCATTGTCTCCCTACCCTAGTCGAGTGTTCGTTGTACTTTGCGTCATTTCTGTCGTTTTCGTTTCGTGTTTTTGCTCTACAAGCACGTCTCTTCTTGCGTCTTGTCTGCTTTCAACATTTTTGGTTTATTTTTTTTGCTTTCAGTCGTTGTCTCTATATAGGACACTTCTTCTTCTTGACTTGCAGCCGTCCGTCGAGCTTTGTTGTCTCTTTTGGATTTTTTCGTCTCGTAGAAGTTTTCATGAGTGACACGGGATTGTCGAAGCTGCGGGTCAGGGTGCTATCGGTGGTCAGATAAGAGGTCTTGCCGTGACGGCACGCTTCGTCGAAAACGACGCAGCAGCGGTCACCCGTCCCAAGTTGCTGTAACGCCCACGAGGGCGTTGTGAATACACCACCTATCGGAAATGTAGGGACCATTTGTTACCCGCGCTTGTGTCCGAATGGCTCCTTTATTCTCGAACAGAGTGGTACCTCCGTGTGCACTCCGCGAAGTCCCCGAGGAGGTTCCATTATTATTCATAGTCGTACGTAGTCCTGAGGCGCATGTGCCATTGTTTTGCTCAGCTTCCCGAGTTTCAGCGATGGCTCCGCCTCTCGTTTCTTCCGACGTTTTTCCAACCCTCTCCTGCTGCTGCTGTAGCCACCCTTCTCTAGCTCTGGTTTGGAGGTTGGGTTGAGCTCTTGGGTCAGTGATATGGGTTCAGCGTTTGTTTTTCGGAGGTGGTGATGTGATCTGGTTTTGGCGGGATGATTTCTTGTTTTATTTAACTAATTATGATGGAACCTACATTTCATGGTGGGCTAGCTGCTTGAAGGTGGCAGCAGAGGAAAAAGCGTTGGATGGGGGACTAAGTTTTTTTTTTCATGTCGAGACAAAGACAAATAAGCGTTGCTAGTGGGCAAGGATGTTGAATAGCTCGGATATTGTGTGTTGCCCGTTGTTTGTTCGTGTACCATAGCAAGCTCAAAGAGGAATGGTCACATTGTACTTGTGGTTCAGGCAACTTTTATTGTGAGAACATAATTTGGAAAGCTACTTCGTGTTTTTCTTGTAGTGCTCGGTCTGTTTGATTGGTGTAAGTCGTGTGTCGGGTAGCAGGTCGTATCGCCTGGCCAAAGACAAACAACTTTCGACATCCATCTATTAGAGGCATGAAGAGGTGACCACTCGGAAAGGAACAATGCGAGACACACTGCACGCCATGTTTTACGCAAAAATATATCGAGAGACAGCTCATCCTTTTTGTCACCTGTTTTTCTGTTGAGTTGTCACGATCGGCTACTACGGAGTTGTTCCAAGTTAAGAGGGTCTTGATTACACGTCATCATCGCAACAGTCGCAATGGTACAGCCGTGAACCCTGCTCGCTCCCTCATCTGACGGTACACGGGACAAACACCTCTCTCTCTGCAGTGGCTAACTGTGGCTCCTCTGCCTGTGGTTCGTCGGCCAAGTTATCCATCATCATGACACGTGCAAGCCCTTTCCTCCTGGTTGCATGCTCTGCATGTCAAAACAAAAACAACAGATGAGAATAAGTTCATGGCCACGCTTGGCGCAAAAGAGGAAAACGACCTGACCCACCAAGTACAGCAGTGCGTCTCTTTTTCTTTGTCGCCCACAGGGAGGGCCAATGTTGCACCCAACCCTCTCATTCGGGGTGCTGCCTACGATTTTTTGGACGATTTTCGTCTAACTGCGCACGTGAGTACACACCCATCCATACAAAAACGCACCAATTTATCAGACACAGTTTCGTGTGGCCCTCTGCATACCCAAATACTAAGTCTCCAAAAGAGGTTTGCATTTATTTCTGATGCGCCACCTCGAAACTTGGGCGGCTTCTAGGCAAAAAGTACATTTTCTAAGTAGGCCTCGTGGTGCATCGATGCTGCTACCGTGGGCGCCGTGGGCTGGGTTGCCGTGTTTGTTCCCTCTCTGGTGCGGTGCGTTCTCTCCAGCTGCCTATGCGGCGGCTATCACAACGAACCTGGTTTTGATTTGAATCTCTCTGCGATTGGTCCTCCTGCCGTCATTGTTGACGCTTCGCCGTTGGGAACGTTCCTGAGAATCCCAGGAGCAACGTTCCTCAGAATCCCAGGAACGTTCCGAACCTGAAATCTACGGCATCATCATGATGATCTCCGAAAAACGAATTTGCTCCGGAGACGAAAACGATCACACCTCTCCCTCACCTCTCAACTCGTCCACTCATCAAACGCGAACCAACCTACCCCCGACACAGCAGTTACACCAGACTCGGTCTTACGTGGTGTTGACTCCCAGCTACTTTATATTTATTCGAACGTCGTGGCATCCGTCTGAAACGCCGCAACACACTATCATCGATCTCGAGATCATCCGCGTTCAACGTCTCCGTTCAACAAGGTCCACAGCAACGCCAGCAGCGACGATCGTGGCAACATGAACTTCGGGAGCGCATACGCTCTTCACGACAGCGATGATGAGGATGAGCGCGTCATGGAAGACGCTCCGCCATCGGGCCCGCTCTCTTCGATGGGCGCGGTTCCCTTTGGCGCCGGCCCCGCCTTGACTCGCGCCTTCGCAGGATCCCCACCTGCACCCCAGCCTGCTGGAACGAACATCCCCAACTTTATCGGCTTGGTTGGTGGCGTAGGAATCCCTCACGATGCACCTGTGCCGGCGGCAGCCCCTCCCGCGGCGGGGGCGGCGGCGGCGGGGGCGGGAGGGGCAGGAGTGCCGCTGTGGCCTCCTCCGCCCATGAAAGCGAGCGCTGGAGTACCAGCGTCAAGGCTCCCGGTTGATTTGGGCGCATCCATCGGAGGTGATGATGGTACAAGTGGGAAGAAGGCCAAGGCCAAGAAGGCATATCGGAGATGCGGTTTTACTCCGAACGACGGCGCAGGCAGGGACTCTGCCGCCGCAGGCAGGGGCTCTGCCGCCGCCAGGCCGCCGCAGGCGCCGGCTCCTCCTCGGTCGAGGACATGGACGCGCAAGGTATGATGATTTACGGAAGCTAGTTTACTTTGGCTTTCATTTGAAGGCATCGACTTTGAAGCCTACATAGTCAACTACGTATATAAGTACTTGGGCCTCATCGCGTGCTAAGTAGAATTCTGGGGTCGTTGCGTGTACAATACAGCAGTACGCAGAAACGGGGCCGACCTGCGTACTACCTGGGGCTACGGTACATCTATCGCGTGTACCCAGACGGGCAGGGTAATACAGCGGCGAACGTGGCCGCAAGAACGTGAGCGGAATCGCTTGACGCCAGTCGGTCTCAAGCAAGTGCTCCGAGTAGACTAGATACTCCAATTTATACATGAATTTCGCCGATAAGTCGAAATTAACTCTACAGAGGTGATCCCTCCTGAGTGGGCTCATCATGAGAACATGGTGTCATCAAATGGATGATCCCAGATGACAATCAAGACAGGTAGAATCAGCCCACAGCTAGCTGCCAGCTGCCAGTTCTGTCTGACACTTCCGAAGCTCAACAGCTCACTCATAAAGCTGGCGTGTTTTTGACTCGAAGAGCCCAGCGAACCTCAACGAACACCAAAAATAATTTGAAGTCTTAGATTTGTGGTTTCCAGTCGCTTCTTGTGTGTGACCCCGGGTCCGGACCTTTTCAGTTCAAAAGCTAGCACCACGGTTTTTGTTGCTGGTGTTGTCTTCACATGGATAACCGATCTCAGAACCTTCCAACAACATTCGTTCATGTCCAACGGCTTCGATGTCACAGGCCAATACCCTTAGGACCTGGTTCATACAACTGCTGAACTGTAGAAATAAAAAAAAAGCAGGACAAGCACATCAAGCTTTTTTTCGGGTTTCGTAGAGGGCGTGTTAAAAAAAACGGCACACCGTTCCTGTCATTTACGTATCTACGGTATTTGGGTGTATTTTTCCCAGTACGGTTGACCCAGGCGGTCTCTGCTCGCGAAGAACCGCCAGCACGGGAATATAGGGACAAGGTACACTGAAAAGGCGGGTAAACGGCCACACATTTTCACGTCTGTGTACATGTACACGTACGTTTTTCAGGAAGACACAGAATAAAAATAGCACAGCTCACCTCCTGCAGATTTGTCTAGTATAGACATGTTCGTTTTCTGTCCTCCACCTGTACCCCGCGCGACATAGGCTCGTTTACCTCTCGTTTACTACCATTCCCTTCCACCCGTTCTGCGGTGCTGGCGACAGCAATATCGTCCCCTAGCAAGGGCTGGCCGTGCACCGAGAAGAGGGCTCTCGCCTGGTGTGGTGGTTTCAGCTTGAGTATTTATCCGGTGTTTTCAGATGCGTCAAAGGGAGTCTGGGAGCTCCCTCTCCCAACAATAATCCACGTATCTCTTTCTCTGACCGTCGATCTCTTTGTAATGTGTCATACTAAATAATGCTTTTACCACAATCTTCACGTTTACCAAAGAAATACTAGTACTTACCAATGACCGACAGGTAGGTGTCCACACGTACTACAGTACTCTGAGGTGTCTTTCATGTGAACAATTGAGTCGACCACACACTTCTGGGTGCCGGCACCCCGCATCTGTATCCCGCCGTTTTAACACCACAGGTGGACACGAACATCCTGAACGTGGACATGGCCGCCCTCGGCAACGCCGCGCCCTACGCCACGGGAGACGCGACCATCTGCAACGACTGCCGGGCCTGCCTCAGCGCCGTGTCGGTCCTCGCCCCCGTCAGCGACGACTCGGGGGCCGTCGTCGAAGACGTGTACGACTGGACGTGCGAGTTCTGCCACAAGACGAACCGAGTCGAGCTCGGACGGGGAGAACTGCCCGTGGTCGGGCAGGATAGCGTGGACTACGTCCTGGAGGCCGCGCCCGCTACCGCTGCGGCTGCCACGCAGGGGAAGGGGGCTGGCGCTGACCAGGTTTGTCTCGAGCTGTAAGCATAACCTCTCTCTCTCTCTCGGTGGTTCTGGGAGCTATCTAAGTTATTTCTTCGATTTTTTCAGTTGTGGGTTGCTGACGTGCTCCGGGATAGGCCCATGAAGCATGTGCAGTGCGTGCTGCACAGTACGCGTTGCGCGTGGCAACGGTGCGTTTCTGACCACGGCACCTCTGATCACACTAATCTCCGGGCCCTCCACCCCCCCCCCCCCCCCCCCCCCCCCCCCCCCCCC